TACATATGCAGGAAGGAATCCTGCTGTGAGCGTATAGCATTTGATAAAGAAATGCATGACAAAGGAAAGGTCCAGATGTGCAAACATGCCAAGAGGCAGGCTTTTGAATGGAACAAACCAGCTCAGTAAGCCCCTAAAAAAAGGACAGCCAAGCAAACGCATGTGTGTGCATGCAAGCCTGTATGTACATGCAGCAGCGATTTATGTATCCAGCTTAGGTATTATCTGTGAAACTGCTTAGGACTTCAGTAGCTACCCAATTTTATTCCTTGTCTGGTGTGCAGTGTCCTTTTGCAGTGATGGCCTACCAGCTGACATGGCAATTATATCTCTTGATTAGTATTTCTTATACAGAAATAAGAGATCCTCTCTTTCCTGTCCATCTCTCTCTTCCTGAGCATACTAAATTAATCCACATACCATAGAATGGATTTGACCTTTCATGTGTTAAAGACTAAAATTCTCCACTCCATTCCCCCATACAATTGCTAAATTGGATGTTGGTTAAGATCTGAAGATAAACCAGTTGCTTTAGAAAGAGATTAGTAATCAACCCATTCATTTTGATCTTCAGTACTGTAAAAGCTAAAACCAAACAAGTACCAAAATATGCATAGGTTTCCTTAATCTGTTTATAAAGGATCTTCAGACACATTAGGAGCTCATAGTAGCAATTCAAAAGCTAAATATAAAAGAAGCTTTATATAAGTACTTCATAAAGTCATTAAGAGGTTTTCTGGGAAACCAGAAAGATACTACTTATTTTTAGCATATTTTCTGCATATTTTCCTGTGAGATAAAGATAGTGAATGTAGAAAGTATCCATCCAAACACAAAATGAGATACACAAAAGAGATCCCACAATCTGCAGCAGGAGTGTTACAGAATCAGCATTTAGACAGCAATGTTCTGACAACACCATCTGCTCATTTGTGCTGTATCTTCCTATTACAGGCTCTCTTAATGTCTCATGCATGATTTTCTGTGGAAGTCCGTAGGAGTGTATGATTTATTTTGACATTAATATTTACCAGGCTGGTGTATGCTTAAAGTATCCAAGATGCTGAGAATTTTTAGTTGTTTAAAAAGCCATTGAAATGGCTTTCATTTGTCCTTGGAGACATTAACACCTTATTTTGTCACTTCACTGCTGTTGCATGTAAGCCAGATACTATTCACGCGGCAGTAATGCAAGTAAATACCACCAGTGTTGCTCTTACTAGAACTATAGACTGAAAGAAAAATTACTTTAGGGTATAGAAGTTCACTAGAGTTTTTAGTCACTAAAGGATGGTGAAAAAAAGCTTCAAGTTGTGAAGTTCCAAATTCTTTACTGTTAGTAGTTTATTGTGAAATTGAAGTGCAAGAGACTCCTGCAAAATTCATTCTGGACATTGAAAATAATCTTCTTTGATTGTCCCTTCCTAAAACCTACAACAGATATTTCATTTGTATTTATAAACATTTAACAGTTGCCTTGCAGGTTCTGGGTAGGTAAAAACCAAAAACTGTGTGACAGGAACATTAAGTTTTGAAGCAATTTTTACAAGTAACATTTCAGTGCTTTGATGAAACACAGAAAAAGTTTGCACAGTCTATGAATTTCAGATCTGTTGCATAACTGCTTTAAACTATTGGTTGATACTCTTTCCATCCAAAAATGGATTACAGAGCTGACAGATTACTTAAAATAACCATTATGGATGTGAATCATACTGACAAAAGCAAAGAAATCCCATTCAGAAGAAGACATCTTGCCTCAGCCAAATACTTGGAGGAATGTGGATGGTTTATATGATTATTTATATACAAAGGATCTTTGTTTAATAGGTAGAAACATACCATTTCAGTTTTCCTCATGAAAAAAGCTTACCAAAAATATGTATCATCAGTATTGTTATTACCCACATACCAGAGATGTTGCTCTTAGAGCTCTGTGTTCTAAGATGGGGTTATATCTTCTCCATTCAGAGGAGTGCACTGATATGCTGCAGACGCATTCATTTACAAGCATGAATAGCAGTGACAAAACACAGTGTTTATGATTCTTGTGCACACGATTGCATTATTTTTCAAAACAATTACTTTTCCTCATATTTAAAGGACAGATGCAAAAATGAAAGAGCTCTAGTATACTGGAATGGCACTTCTATTGGTGTAGGTATTTACTAATACATCTATAGCAGCAGCTATTCAAGATATAACAATTGTATTGAGAACCTTGTGAAATTTTTATATTTGAAATGAAAATGTGTTGTAAAACATTACCTCTACTTTTTTTTTTTTAGGAGCTACGAGAACTTTTGAAACCACACCTGACAATGTGCAGTCTTAAATGCTGCAGTCTCAGAGCCCTTTTTCTGTTGATGCTGTGTAGGTGAGAAATATTTACTAAAAATATTATTTCTTCAACATATAATAATATCAGTTGGTTTATAATAAATTTACTTATAATTAGAAACATATCTGACCGCATAACAAAGTGAAATCTACTTGACAGTTGAATCTTGCCTCTTACAAAGATTAAACAACCTGGATATTAATAACAGAAATACAGGACCAAACTCCACAAATCATCTCAGTTGCCTTGGTTGAGTAGAAGATTTTTTTCACTGAGGAAACTATTGAACAGAAAAAAAGAAAGGAATTTAACTTAAGCAAATGATCCTTCAAAGGAAGGATTACTGTATAGAGAGTGTGAATATCATATCAAATGCTTAGCAAATTTAGAAGGGCACATGGTCCTTGCCTGGACCATTGTACCTTGCCCAAGGACAGAAGCACACAGTCCACCTAAGCATACTAAAGCTTGAGATAGTAAAGTAATAGTTGTGCATTCATTACTAAAGGACAATGTCTTAAAAAGAATTACCTGGTTAAAACATTGCCTTATCTGTTGATGAAATTGTGAAGCTTTAGGAAAGCTGAGTTGTGTTAGGCTGGAAGGTGAAGCTGATCCCTTCTGTGTACAAGTTACCCTGCTAACAGTGCAGTTGCCAAAACAAAAGCTTGAGATAGAAAGGGAGCACTTAAAATATACTCCTTCTATAAAAATGAGGGAAAAGTTATTCTTTGTAAGTAATTCTAATAAGAAAATACAAGCATGGACAGATTAATCACTGTCACTACCGCATTCAACTGAAGTATTTCAAGTCTGTTAGCCAATTCTCTGTGCAGAATTGCCTAACCTGTTTGGTCTCCAGTAAATTCCTCAAGATAAGATTCTGCCTGAGCTTTAGTTTAAGTGGGTGTGCAAACATATGTTTAGATAAAGCCTCTGCTTAGTTGTGAAGGCAGGTGGAACAGTCACCTGAAAGAGAGTTTAAAACATCCATCTCCCCCACTCTCACCAGTGCTATAGGGAGATCTTTGTCCAGAACATACACTTGCTCTAATTCCACCTTCCTTCCTCATCAGCTGTGACTTGCCATGCTCCATAATCACTGGTTGATTTATGGCTTTGAAGTAATAAGACATCGCTAAGAGATGAACAAAATTTCAGAAGCATCTAAATAACAAAGAAGAAAAATTATCTGAGAAGTTCAGCCTGCAGTATATAATTGCCTTAGTTATTATCTGGCAGACTTTGTGAATCCTCCCCTGCAGCTTCACAAGGCTAAGAGTATCCAGAAGCACAGTTAATTCCTGTGTAGAACCCATGGCAGTCTGTGCATGCACAGCACCTGGTAAGCCTGGACACAAGTGCACAGCATGGAGCTGCCCTGGTCATGTTGTACCCCAACCCAGGCTGAGAAGAAGCTCTGCCCTTGGGTAGCTCATAGCCAAGATGATGCTTAGGTACACAAATGCCTTTTTCCAGTCCACAAATTGGGAAGGCTTGGTGAAAGTGCTGTTTAAAACAAAAACTACCCAGCTTGGCACTGAAACAGAAAAATATTTTTAAGCCGTATCCAAGGGCTGAGGAGCACAGAAGCAAGGGCCAGAATTACTCCTTGAGTTGCCCCTTCGATATCCCACTCATACAAGCTCTGGCTAATGTGTAAAGAAAGTTTCCTCTGCTGAGTACTTTATAATCAATGATGGAGTGTGTGGTGTGGCTTTTTTTTTTTTTTTTTTTTTTAAGTGTAGAGCCAGCCAGTGCCTCATCTTTTCCCTGTCATATACAGAGGACATGATCTGTTCCAACACATGTGCTAACAGTGTCACACCAGGCTATCAGACTCCACCTTACTTTCTAGTTCTCCCTTCCTGAATGACATTTCCTAGCTTCACTTGCATCACTTGACATTAAGTTACATTATGATGACATCATAGACACACATACTCAAATCTATATCCAGGGGGTTGCCTGGATGGTCACTTTCCCAGAAATATTTTTATTAAGAAGTAGAAGTGAAAAATATTGAGGGATATTTATCAGAGTAAACAATAGCACTTGCACTTCAAATCATTGCCAGGAATCAGCTTAAGTAAATACATGCTATTTGATCCCAAGAAGGGGTCCTATTTATTTCAGGAAGGGTGATTTCAAATTGAAGAATGTTAGCCTGGGTTTATAGGATCACATCCAGAAAATTCTGTGAGATGCTTATTTTTTTTGTCTGAGTTTAAGGGCATTTACATTATTTAAGTATTTGTTCCTATATCTGATAAGTGAAATTGTAATACTTCTGTTTCAACCTCAACAATTATCCAAAAACCAGTGACAGTACTGCCTGTTTTGAAGCAGAGAATTAATCAGTGATGCAGGTAACTCTGCTGCAGTTTATCTACAAAGATCATACAAAACCCTATATCCTTGAGCACGTCAGGTGTGAAACAAGAAGCAACACCTTTGTTTGCATCTGTAAACCATTCAGCTGTCAGTGGATTGTCTGAAAAAACCTTTCCTCCCCCCAGCTTTTCCTGAGGGGGCGTTTCAAAAGCTTGCTCAGACTGTATTTGGCATTTTGTTTCTCCCTTCTCTCAGTTCTAAGGTGTTTCTGCCTCTTTCATGATGCATAACTTCTGACAAAAATAGCCAGGAAAAATATTCCCATACATGTGTCTAGACTGTACTTTTGTTTTAAGCAGTGATATATACTGTTTAGGGCAGATGTTCCCTTTTCCCCCTCCAGTTACCCAATTCTGTTAAGACACTAACTTGAAAGTATATTAAATTACAAGCAGTTGTTGTATCTTCCAAGTTTAGCCTAGTCTGTAAAAATACTAAGTTTTTGAGCCATAAGAATAACTAAGGAAAGGAAATAATTGTAATTCAGCTTTTATAAAAGCAAGCATAGGTCATTGAACCTGAAGAGTTTAAAACATGTGTTATACATTGACAGCCCAGAACAGGTAGATATTCCCAACTGTCAAATAAATATATATTTGTTTTTCTTACATAAAAGACTGTTCTCTCCTCAGTTGCCGGAACAGCTGTTTCAAGGCAATTCTGTACTTAGATGCATATCAATGTATTTCAAATATGTTAAGAAAATGGAGGAACTAAAACATATGCAGTTAGTTAAATATGACAACACAAATATTGAGTAAAAGAGAAGCTTAGATGCATTGATGAGAAGATGTACACGCATAAGAGGAATGAGTCTCAGTTTTTGCTTTTATCCTTTGTGATTCCTGCGTAAGGCTGTATGACAGAATACAGGAATATGTGCAGCTGTGAGCTCACTCTTGCTTAGTGATGAATGCGGCATGTGAATTGAAGAGCGCCTTAAAGGAAACAGGGCATCCTCCCTTAAAATGTAGATAAGCAAAACCACTTAAGGCACAAAACATCTGTAGGTTCCTTACCTTTCAACACTGACCATCTGCTTTTGAGTATCCCTAAAGTTACCAGGATGGTAAGACCACATACTCACATTTAGGAGGTATCAGGTTCCTCTTATGTATTGGCTTACTATGACAGGACTTCTTAAAGATTGTGTGGCAAAATAGCACACAAGGGACAGTGCTCTGTTAATTCACAGCCTCAATTACTGCCCAACAGCTTTCCCATGCCAACTAGCTCTTACTTAACCATAAAAAGACCAAAGGTATGAGGCTACACATCATGTATTAATGAGGGAAATCAAGAATAACCTGAAAGGGTACTACACTACTAATCACTCAAAGGTGATTTAAGGGAAGGACTTTCATACAATAATGCCAAATATTTAAGATAAATTTCAGAAAATAGCTGTTAATGATAACACACCAGACCACTTTGTAATTGCAATACTATACTATATTATACCCTTATAGTGCAAAGGGACAAGTTTTCCTTTATTGTTTCACAGAGTGTGAAACTTATTCAATCAAGAACAGTCCAATAAAGCTGTGAAATTAACTCATGCAGCTCACTGAACACTTAGCTAAAATTATACATAAATTACAAAAGCAGAAATTTCTACTGCAAATACAGTATTTAAGAAATTAATTAAATTCAAGTACGTTTTTAATTCCAACACTTCTGTGCAACATAAAACTAGCCTTTTTATTTATATTCACATTTCAACTCAGCATGACCATGCTTGTTTCTTTAGGACACAGTTTACAGGAGAAACATTCCTTATTTCAATTCTGGCATTACTCAAGACCACACTTAACATCAAATAAGGTAATAACATAGCTCTTTAGTAATAAAGAAATAAAAAACAGGGACAAAATAAGGGAATAAGATCATTCAACTATCTAAGCTATATGAGCTACAAGACTTCTAATGAAAAACAGCTACTTATGTGGGAACAGGGTCATGTGAACAGAAAAATTACACAGCAATAGCAGCACTTCAAGACAATGGATGCCACATCCAAAACCACAGTGTGATTTGGCCACGTGCATTCAGTTAGATCATCTTAGCATTTAAGTTTTGCCAATCTAAGATATTGGATTATTCCTAGTGGATGAAAACCAGTTTCCCAATAGAACAGCTCAAGCTCTTTCAGAAACACAACAAAATTCAGATCAAAGGAGCAAGCTTTGGAAAGCTACAGCAGGCCCAGAAACATCACTAGGAAGAACAAGGAGAAGGTTCATGAACAGCTCTGGAAGAAATTGGGAAGATGAAACTCAGCGAGGATTTGGTAGGACTAGGAAAGGCCACAAAACACTAGTGGACCCTTAGCCATCATTTCATACTTACATCCTTCTCCCCAGGGCTGAGCCACTACAGCTCCAGCTCTTGTACCTGCTGTAGAAGAGCTAAGGGGTAGAACAAGTCACTCCTAGTAACTAGTCACTTTTGTCATGAATGGCAAGAAGCAGAAAGACCATCTCCTGGCAAATATATAGGTGGCTGCTCTTCATCAGCAGAGACAATGCCTCTGCCAGCAGCTAGCTGGGCTTCCTTGAGTCAATCAATTATTTGCTTCTCACTTTCATAGTTAAAGCTGTACCTTCATTTTTCTCAAATTGTTGGTGATAAGCAGTCAGTGCCACTTGTGTTTCAATTTATGAAGAGCACAGCCTGAATCTATGACAAGTGATCACACCCTGCTCGCATTCTTGGGGTGCTCAGCTTAGGGGTCAGGCAGAAACTAAAGGCAAAGCTATGGTATCTTTTGCTATGGGGCTGCTGCTTATGGTGTCACAGCCCTTAATGGCCCCAGGTGTCCCTCCCACAGCTGCTAACCATCAAGACCCATAAAAGGTGAAGTGGGGAATACATTAAAATGAATCCTGAGGTGATCTGAGTAAAGAATTGCAGTGCAGATTTGCATCTTTCCCTCGTCCCTTCACTGATCCTCCCAATAAGGCTATTGGAGGGGCCCCAGGGCAAAAAGAGGTTTTATAATTATTTATATTTAACTTTTGTTGATCATATTGGTAGCTGTTTCTGAATAAAGGAGTGGTTTACATTCTCATGCTTCACTGATTTTGCCCAACAGGATTGTTTCTATAGCCTGTTTAAAAATTGTGTTGTAAAAGCAGGATTTTGAAAGTATTTTTATGTGCTAATCTCTGAGGCTGGTTTCTATCTCTCTCCAGGAACTAAATTGAATGTATTTCATTATATAAAAAGAAGCTTAATTTTAAATGCTGAAATAAACAATCAACACCCCTCCCACGTTACTAGATTATCACAATATTGTCCTTTTTACAGAGAAGGTATTAAAGAAGACTGAACTTATTTTCTCAGGTGAGGTGTTAAGAAAAGATAAACTTTAAACCAATGGTAGACTTTAAGGCATAAATTTTTTATTTTTTTTCCAATAAGAGACTAATACAGATTATGAAATCTGATATTTTCTAGAACATTATTTTTCTACAGGGCTGTGAAATGCAAACATACAAATGTTTCATGATATGTTATCTGTTGGACTGTAATTGTTAGTAACATTGAAACTAATACAATATTCTTGTGGAATGTCATCTCTGCTTTAATTAATTATGTTTTTTAAAAACAGCCTAATGTTTTTCATTCCTTTTAGGCCAATGCAAATTCCTGAAGCTGAAGGAAAAGGTGAAATTCTACCTCCAACTATACAAAAAATAATAAAAGGATACAACAAGTATCTACGTCCTTTTTTTGATAGTAAGTAGAAGAGCTGTTTTAATAAGCTTGAGCCATAACATAATGCAGTGTCTCAAACTCAGCAATGAGAGCAAATGTTTTTTCACTGTGCTGTTTTTTTTTTTTCCAGTGTTTGATAGTGACTGATCCATACTATATATAATAGTATAATAAGATATAGTGTAATAGCATTTGTGGCCCAAGGTGAAACATATATTCTAGGCATTCACAAGCAGAACTTACAGGCTCTCTTAGAAACTTGGCTATTGATATTAATGTGTCCTCAGTGAAATAAGCTGTAATAACTTACCTATTTAAAAGCATAATTTCTGCTTATTTCCTAAATAGTAACTAAAAAAAATTTGATTAAAGGTAAGTAAGCTTTATGTATCAAACTGTTCATAAAAGCACAGTCAGATCCTGTTACTCTACCAAGTATTATGTGCATATTCTATAAGATTGCAAGATAATTAGTTAATAAATGCTTCTTGCCTTGGGTCTTAAAGGTCACTGAACTGGTTCACAGCAAAACTATGAGGGAGAATGAGTTGAAAATGTCAGTTCCCTGTGTCAGAAGGCCACGGTCACCAGGTTGGAAGGCCCACATAATCTACTGCACCAAGGCTGATTTTACTGCCCTGCAGTGCAGTCAGCGTTAGGTACCTGAAGTCTTAGTGACAAACATCTTCCTTGCTTGAATCAGGCTAGTGCATGTGTTGGAAATGCTGAAGAGTTATGAGGCGGGATGAAGATCTCTGCCTGGAGTAACTGCAGAACTATGACGAAGAAAATATTCTGCATGTTGAAAAGATGCTCAGCACCATGTGTCTGTCAGAAAATAAACTTACAGAGTGAATGCTAGGCAAAAGTTCTTAAGTTAGATATTCAGAAACATTAGAGGTTTCAAATGAACACTTTTCTATCCTGCTTAAAAATGGCTGATTAAAGAGTTTCTGAGACCATACTGTGACCACTTGCCATCCAAATACCTGGTGAGATTATCAGCCTGTTCAATAGGGCACTCCACATCATGTGCAATTCCTGAATCCATTTCATAAAAATATTAAGATAAGTCTGTATTTTAGCTTTAGGAGAAAGGGAAAGCTATTTAATCTGTTTGGTTTTATTGTAATTGTCTCAGCTGCTATACAACCACTATGAAGTATTTATATAGTCTAAGAAGATTTTCAGCAAAATAAAAGTAGTGCTAATAAACTAATCCCTTCTCATTTGAGCTGATGCATAATGGAAAATAACTATTAAGTTTAGTAACCATTAATATATTGTATTCATTATTCTATGCTAGTACTAGAGATATGTTGGAACTGCCATGATGGATGTGCTTTGGTAGACAGCAAACAGAATTTCATTGCAAAATCCTATGGTGGTAATTAAGACCAACAGTAAAGCACTTTTGACTTATGAATCTCCTTTTTCTAATGTGAGCCAATTTTTTTCTCAGCTGTTGTAATGCAGCAAGGCTATAGCTCTTTTCATGCTTGGGAATTTTGTTCAGAGGGATGCTAAGGACTTCCTGTGTTTGCTTGAAAATCCCAGAGAAGCTTAAGCACAGATCAAGTCTATGTGATATGCAGAGCCAGTCTAGCACTTCCAGACAGCGCCAGCCTCACTGCATATGCTCTCCATGGCTGAGGCATGCAAACACTAAGTCACTTCGCTGGATCCATCCACACTTTGATGGATCTATGTCAGCCCTACTGCTGAAGAAATGGGATGAGACTCTGAATAATACATTTTATTGGTGCGATTTCTGAATGCAGTGTTGGTAGTTTTGTGATGAATGGAATTTTTGTGGGTATAATTTGGGTTAGCATGACCCAGGAAGCATTCATCCTAATTTTTGTACCTGTAGCTTTTTGCGAGATCATTTGGGATCATTTTCCATGTGATAGAGGCATATATGCGCAGGTGGGGTGGGGAGTGGTATCTACCCAGCCTTGACCCCTCTCTGTTACTGGCAAGGTGGGCTGCAGTTTGACTGAGATTCAGGTCTGGGAGAAACTATTGCTCCTCTCAGAAACAGAGCTCGTAAACCACCTAAATCCTCAGTTTAACAAATCAGTGCATTATACTGATCTGTGTGACTGCAGTTATTCTAGCTTTGTGCCATGTAGTATTTTCTTTATTTCTACGGATATTATCTGCCTGCAGCTGGTGTACCTTGTATCTGTTCTGTGTGAGAAAGATTTCAGTGTAAGTGGCTTTACTCAGAATTATACCATTGGCTACAGCAGGTCTGCTAAACATCCCCCATATCCTTAATTTCTTTGGTATGATATTTGCATGTTTAGAGACTGAACAATTGAAAATGGATCGTAAGATCAAAGTGCTGGTTAGACTTGAGTAGGCTAATGAAAAGATGCATGATAAAAAACATAAACCAGGGTATTTTGGTTCTGGTAGAGATTACCAGCTACTATAAAAGCCTGCACAGTTCTAACTGTGACAACCTATCAGTGCTGATCTACTCTGAGAAGGAAACTTGTATTTCTAGAAATATGAACAGAAAAGAATGTATATGCATATTAAACCCAAGATCTATGTTTGCTGTCTGAAGTGCATGAAAGGATTTACATAAAATGGGAGCCTAGTATGTGTGTGTTGATATGCAGAAAAAAAAAAAAAAAAAATCCTAAAGAGTTAGCCTTTTTTAGACACTTGGCTCCTTTTTTTTTTTTTTTTTTGTTTATTTCTTGACCACGATTCCTTTGCTTTTGAAAGTGTGCATAGTTCTGTTTATTTGTGTGGTCAGTTAGATATGGAGACATAAATATGCATGAAGAAATTTGTAATCAAACTAGATGGTATTATTTGTTGGCATCTACAGTGCTTTGGGCTTAATGTTAGCTAGTCATAATGGAACACTGAAATGTGATTTTTATCAAGTGTGAGAGGCCAGCGGTTAGCTTGAATTTTAGAACAGTGTAATTCAAAGCAATTTCAAAGTTATTTGTCCTTGAAATGCACAGGAAATTTGGATTTTTGAAGTAATGTTTGCTGCCAAGATACAATCATACTCTCACAAAATCAGTGACACTGAACTCCTTAATATTTAGCAAAATGTTTTTTTTAGTCTGAAAAGAAAACATTGGATATAAACAAATTATCATAAAATGAAATTTCCTTTTTCCTAAAGCCAGGAGAAACAAAAATATTTACTAGTCAAGGAAATTTTATGACAGCTGATAAGTTCTTAGTTTAATAAGCCCTGCATTTGCCTATTTGCTTGTGTTTAGTCCTGGTGCTGGGACTGGCAGATGACTGGAAATTACTTAAGCAGATACAACTCAAATAGTATAATTTATGATGGGATTATGTACATATTTTTAATTTGACTTCAATGACTGTGCCTAACAACATAAAAATTGTCTTCTCCTCTCCTTGCATGGAGTTGAACTAATAGATTTCTAGATTTTAAACCAGGATTAATCTCACCTTACTTTAGTGCTCTCCTCCCATACAGACTACCCCTCCAGATCCTTGCTACCCGAACACTGCCATTTATGCCCAATACAGACTGTCATTCCCATCTCTAGGCACCTAAATTAGGTGCCTAAAGTTAGATTAGTTGAAGCTGGGCTTAGTGTGTCAAAGGTTTGTAGACAAGTAAAATCTTTGGTTGGACACGATGGTCTTAAAAGGTCTTTTCCAACCGAAGTGATTCTGTGGTTGAGTGTTTTATGTTTGTCCATGGTGGCTGACACCTACCAGTTACCAAATTATGGAGATACTTTTACACAGTGTTTAATACAGAGCAACCCCAGCTGGACTGGTTACTTTGCTTTGCCCTCATCTGAATCTTTTTCCTTAACTGCTGCATTTTAACGTCCCTCTTTGAGCCGGTTCATCAAGCAAGTCTTAATAAACTGAGCAGATAGAAGTTCCATTAGCAAATTAAAAAACTACCTAATCTAGAATGATTTTAGCCATTCTTTTGGCTAGAATGTGAAATATTCCTATGCTAGTGTTAGTAGATAGTACCCCTTAATGTAATAGACTTTATCCTTTTAGAAGCTTTATCCTAGACTTCTATCCTAGACCTCTTATCCTAGACTTCTAGATAGATGTGAAAACCTTCTGTAGAAAAGCTGACATAAGGGGTTTAAAAATGCACAGTTATTTCCCTTAAATGTGCTACATAACCCTGACACTTTATCTCAGCACTACAAGCTGATTTCAACATCAGGTTTTCTGCTGAAACTGTGTAGACTGATTTTATAAATTTAGGTGCAGTGCCAAACCTCTCTGAATTAATGAGCAGTTCCTGAGACTTCAGTGAGCCTTGGATCAGGTTCATAGAGTTGTTAAGGGTTGCATAAAATATCGTAAATAATTTTATAAAAATAGATTTTGTTCTGTGATTGAAAGTGATAATTTAAGGGTTCTAATTAAAAAGAGAGACTAGGAAAAGGTCACAGCTAAGTATATTTGAATATGGAAGCTGCTTTCAAGTGGTATAGAAAAGTGTCATGCTTAAATCAGTTATTCTAAACCACATTTAGATTATTTTCCTTAGCTGTATAATGAGTAATATGTTTCATGGTGTTAAGGTTTAAATTCAAGACAGCGCATTAAATCTTTTGAGTCCAGCCTTCTGTGTAAGACCAGTCATCATATTGTTTTCTCATATGTTGTTTATTTAAGTTCCATGAGTTTAATAAGATGAAGATGGTTTAGTCCTCAGAAGTTTACAGTTTACTCCAAAGAAAGACCGGGAGATAGCAGAATGCTAGCCATGTCTAAGACCCTTTGACTTACTGAGACAAGCTCACAGGATATGTGAGAAAGAAATATCAAATAATCATAATCTAAAGACTATTTTATGTGCCAGTTAAGCAATGTCTAATCCTTCAGAGAAAGGCAAAAGGCCCAGTTGTATATGAGAAAAAAAGATCTTTTGATTCCCCACTGAATCTTTAAATTGTGATTTAATAAATCAGTGACTTCGTGCAAAGCTGTAAACTTCAGTATACAGATGGTAATGCAGATTTTCCTTCCTTTCCCATGGAAATAAGAGACCCCATGAGACTTATCATTGCCACCAAACCCATCTTCCTGTATGCAGGACAATTTAATTTTTTTCCCCTCCGCCCCTAAATGCTGAGTTCTAGAGACTCTGAATGATGTACAGCGATTAAGTTCAGTTAGAAAAAAATAAAAAATGAACTTTCATGTTGTCTTTAGCTTCCCTAAACTGGAATCTTGCTTTGCTTTGTCAGAGAATCTGTACAGCTTACTAGTGGATACCTTTTCTTTGCACTTACTGACCTTGGGCAAGTCACCTCTCTGTCTTCTCTTTGAGGAGCTAAGTAAATGCTCTTCTTAATTTTCATGTTGCAAGCTTTGATGTTAAGCTTCCAGAGTTTTTTTTCTTCTGGAATATTTCTCTCTCTCAATTGAACTCTGCCTGCTGTTTGCACATTGTTTTTCAAATATGGAAAACAAATCTTGTCATAGTAATCTCATAACAGTCTCACCAATACAGTCTAGATTGCAAGGTAACTTAATTCTGTACATTGCTCCCCATTGCAGTAGTCCTTCTGCCAGAGCATGATACAGAAAGATCATGCTGAAATGATTATCTGTGACAACCTCTAAATCCTTCTCAAAGGCATTGCTCGCCAAGATAGTTTCCTATCCTGTATGTACTGCCTGCATTACTTGTCCCCACGTTAATTTTTTGCATTTGGCTGCATTAAAATATGTTTTTTTTCACAAATGATTTAACAAGCTGTTATTATTACAATTCCCACCAATTTTTGTCTCATCCACAAAGTGTACTAGTGAAGCTGCATCACTGTCTAAGGATCATCGATGCGAACAAATAGAGTTGAAGCCAATTCCTGCTAGAAATGACTCGTCTTCTGATGTCTTCATATCAACAATTACAGTTGAGATCTGTCAGAAGGCCTATCTTAATCTGTCCAGTCTCTTCACATAACATACTTGTCAAGAAAGATATCTTGCGGTGGGAAGTTAAATGCACTGAAAAAAATCCAAGTGTAATGTATCACTTTATCTAAAAGTCCCATAATACCCTAAACCAAAGCAAAGCTGTCAATCAGGCAGACAAAAACAGTTTTTCATGGAACTATAATAAATTATTCTAGCGATACTTTTCCTTCTAATTCTCTGTTAGGGTTGCATAGCATGTTACCCAGTATTGCTGCAAGGATGAGGTGTTCTTTCAAAAGTCACCCCTTTTGAGGTATTTCTGAATGCCAGAATTGTTTTAAGTTTTCTCAAACTAAATACAAAAAGAGGTAGTACTAGCAGCTCAGCAGCACTGGTAGTTCATGCCAGTGCTGACTGATTGAAGTAGTTGGTCTTCAGAGTTAGAAATACATGCGTGACACGGTGGTGGTTTATTTTGTTGGTACAAAGTTTAGCAGACTGTGATTATTGCAGCTACCTGCCACTCTTCTGGCTGCTTTCCCACATGGGATTACTGTGAATATCTGTAAAGTGCATAAAGTAACAGTGTTTGTACAGGAATTTCAGTAAAAATTAAAATGTATGTTAATTAGATTGTGCACCCATTGCTGTAACAAGGCACAGCCTTTGGCGTTTCTTTGCCATATTTTGAAGATTGGCTTTAGTAATGTAGGACAGACTGTGACTGTAATTTTCTTCAGAAGTTGTAATTATACACACAATTTCTGCCAAACATATGGAAATGTAGGAACTGAGTGCCTTGGCTGGTCTACTGCCCTGTTTTTGACACTGTAAGTGGGAGACCTTTCAGAGGAAGTTCAGGGTGGATAATTATGCAAAGATTCATTCATTCTGTTATTAATACTGTGCTTATTTTGTAAGGCACCATAAGTTGTGTTTAGCCTCACACATAAAAAAGAAATTACTATTTAACTATTAATATTGTTTTTAAATTACCTGTTAAAGCAAAGCCATTCTTTCTTTGTGTTGGGTTTTTTTTTCCTTTCCCCCTGTACAATTCCTCCCTGGCATGTTGCTCTATCTGAGGAGAGAGAATTTTGCTGAGTGCCCAGCACAAACACTTGGGCCATAAAGACTGTCAGGTCTAGCAGAGCAGGATGGTTTTTCCTGGCTATGCTGCCACTCATGAGCACTTGAACTGCAAGGCAGGTCTGTTTTAGTGCAATCCTTTTGAGTTTGAAGTATCCCTTAACCTGAAGTAGATGTCTTTTGGAGGTTGGGAGTCACCCAACACTACAGCTCTCTTGTGTTACTCAATAATATTTAGAAAAATACTGCAACAGATAAGAAAGAAGGGATAGAGGTACAAAGTCCTGTTTTTGTTATTCCAGAAATAATAAACCTAACTTAATTTCAGTAATCTTTCTGGAAAGTCAGCTTTTCTTCTCACATGTGTAGCAATAACACTGATGATTCTGAAATGCTGCTAATGAACATTTCTCCCAATCTGTATAACCTTAACTAGTCAAGGATCAAGTGTTGTTGCTACCAATAAAATATGATATAATAAGAAAGATTTTGATTATTCCCAGCCACAATTCCCACATAGCCAGCTGAATGCTATATTGTCATCATCTCATGATGGTCCATTGTTAAGCATATGCCTTGCATAGTGAGGTTCCCCTCAAATTCTTGTGTTGACATTTGGCAATAATATGCTCTGTTACAGTTGTACATGGGAATCTGTAGGAAGACTTAAAAAAAAAAAAATGTCCGAGAATGGATTATAAATCACACTGATTTTTAAATTTAATGATTTTTGAGGGTCTGACACATCTTTTGAGGCTGACAGTATTGTACTTAGAGTAATGATATGGTACAATGGTAAGCATAAGTATCGTCTTTTTTGCTGTTGCACCCTAGAAAGTTGGGATGAGTTCCCAGAGGGTCAAGTTTTTAACCCTGGAAGGACAAAACATAAATGTATTCTTGGAGTATGAAAACCTAAAAAGAACTGAAAGAAACAGGAGAACAAGCTGTCAATGGTCTGAGAACTTTTCAGTAAAATTATTTTGTTCCAAAGTTAACTTCCAAAGTATTTTTTCTATAGATGAACAATTTCTTCTAATCTCTATGTACAATTTATAGTATATAATAAACTCTTCTAATCTCTATGTACAATTTATAGTATATAATAAACATATAGATTACTATGAAGGGATGCTGCAAGCCTACAGTCCTGCTTTAAGTTGGAGCTTTATGTTTGAACTTTGAACTGGGTCCAGAACAAAGCACTTACATATTATTACTTCAGGAGTGCCATATATTTAATAACTTTAACACCTGCATTACAAATGGAAATTATTTTGAAAAAAAAAATATACTGATACACTGATACCACTTAGAATGACACATTCCTTCTTTAGTGTTACTCAGTGGGGTAGAGTTGGACCCCATCTTCCTCTAGATGCCATTTGGGTACATACATAGGGCATTGCAAGGAGTCAAGAGTGGGTTTCAGCAGTGTGCCTGCAATATACTGGCACCATCAGCTGCACAGATCTTATCTAAAGTATTTCTGCATTTCTCAATACTGCATTCTCTGCTTCTCAATTACTTAGAAAGATGCGCTTATTATTCTGCATGTACTCAACCGGGAATAATGTCCTGTTTCCGTGAAAGCTCTGTGCAAAATCTGCATTTTAAAATGCACAGCTGGTGATCTTCCTTCTGACACTGTAAAATGCACGTTCACAAGGAAACGAGAGTTTGAGCATAGTAACATTGCAATGACAACTACTTAGATAAGGTATTTAATCACAATGAATAAACCTTCAGCTGATATTAATATTAAAAGGAGAATAAAATGACTAGTTTTCCTTTATTAAAGCAAGTATTTTAATCACAAGTTAACTGGTAATGGTCAAAAGCAAGACACTAAAATGCAGTGACACAGTATGGACAATATATTCTTAAATAGGCAGTAAATAAGTCACCCAGCTATCCCATCTGGATATGAACCATGTGACATTGCCAGGTGCAACTCCTTTGTTCACTAACATCTGATGGACCAGATGTTGCAACTGGAAGAATTCTTTCCACTGCTCTGCACCTCAGAGCAGAAGGATGTGATGTACCATGGGGATTGTACCTTCTGCACCTTGTTGTGCAATGTTTTCCCCAGCACTTTTTTCCCTGGGGGGAAAAAAAAATCATATAAACCAGGAAATATTTAGGAAGTAAAGCATGTTTTTTAAAATTAAGATGCTGTTAGTCTAGAAGTGTTATATTTTGGTTATGAAATCATTACAATTCTCTCATAATCTAAATTTGAAGGATATTTCCTTTTAAAAACCTACTAAACATTTAGAAAAAAATGGATCATGAAAGATTTGGCAGCCAGTTCTCCTGAACACTGAGTATTAAAGAACGATGTGCTAGATTTTGACTTTCTCTTTTTTTGCAGATGGTCCTGTGTCAGTTGGAATGAGCCTGGATATTGCAAGCATTGATACAATATCAGAAATAAATATGGTATCGTAGCTTTTGCAATCTTTTTTGGTTTTGCTTGTTAATAAGCTAATGTCTTGTGTTTAAAGCTGGTGGCGATGTGACAGACTTTTCTCCTTGTGCAGTCAACATGTGTTAGGAGATAGACAGAATTTTATTTTTCACTACAGATAGTGGTTATAGCACTATAATAAATATAGAAATGCCAATGCACATCACACCTCTCATAGATACCAACAGAAATTTGCTACTGAGTATTAATCTTAAGGAAAGTCATGTAAAGCAGTATATATTTTCTGGATGAAGTGTCTAAATCTTCATGCATTTCAGAAAATTAAAGATATATTCATATGACTGAAGCCACTCCCTTTCCTTGCGATTAGACACAGCTGAACTCATATTGTTTTTCTCTTTTACTGTAACTGTCACACATTAAGTTATTCCAGCTGTGTTTCATTACATTTGTATAATTTATCTGTGAACAAACTATGAAATGGAGTATACTTTTCTAATTAAATATTGTTCATTGGTACATAGAAATAAAAGGCAAAATTCATTATTCAGATATTCATTTTAGAAAAATATGTGGTTTTTTACGCGTACATAAATGTACCTCACCATTTCATTACTCAGGCTTCCAGAGAAGTTGAGTATTAATATCCCTTCTGTACTCAGTAAGTATTCACAGGTATTTAGAAAGGGAGAAGTAAGGTCAGAATTTAAGATGAATGTATCATACTGATAATAACACATCATAAAAGCAAAAGATGATTAAAAAGGTTCTAAGAAGTAGTGTGATTTTAATGTAAGACCACAAGGCATATTTGATTTGAAGGTGAACTCGGCCAAAAGCTATATTTAGGGTCTCAATAAATTTGGCACTGCTGTTTCCCTTGTGATGCTGAAAGGATAAATTGTGCTAAAAGATGATGATTCCCTGACTTCCTATTACTCTAATTTCTTTTATAATTTTGTCTATCTGAATTTATACATATTTTTCCAAAGTTTTCTTTAAAAATGCATCATTGGGTAGTTTATGTGAACAAAATGATGTTTGCAACCACTTTTATAAATCATTCTGAAATGTAAAGATTTACAGAGCCAGATTATCTGCTTACAAAACTCTGATGACTTCAGCTGATTTATAGCCTCAGCTTAGGCCATCAGCTTTTACTGTAAAATTCCCATGACTGCAAGAAAAAAATCTACTCAAGATAATATTTCTTAATGATGTCAACCTCACATCAAGTGCTGGAAAATTTGGCAGTATAAGAGCCAGTACAACTGCTTTTGGGGTGTTGGCATTTTAGAATGGGACATGGAGAGTCACAGGCTATTTGTGCCCAACAGCTGTCTGTACACTTCTGTAAAACAGAATATAATACAGGCTTGCTCTGTATTATAACTTTGTTTTTTCTCTTTCAGGACTACACAGCTACCATATTTCTAAGGCAGCGATGGACTGATGAGAGACTTTGTTTTGATGGTAATAAGAGTTTAAGCTTAGATGGTCGGCTTGTGGAAATGCTTTGGGTACCGGATACCTTCATAGTTGATTCAAAAAAATCTTTTCTTCATGATATCACTGTTGAGAATCGTCTCATAAGAATATACCCTAATGGAACAGTATTGTATGCTCTACGGTATGTATATACCATGTACCAGCCTTTATATTTGGCTTCTACTTAGATTTTAAACTTTCCAGGTTAGCATAATTTTATGCTTAAGAAACTGGTCTATTTGTACAAGTAGAATATGCATGGTCTTGTAGTTTTACAAATATATAATATTATTGACCAATAATTTAATAATAGATCCTTTTGCTAATACTGGAATTACATTTTGCCATTCCAGTTTTTTTGCAATAAAGTCAGCATAGAGGAAAGCAAGTCATAATGATTGACTTGCATTATTTATTTCAGATTGTCCTTTATAACAAGTTTTGATAAATATAACAAAATTGTAAAATGTATTGCAAAATATCAACAAAGGGATATGCACGCTGTAAGTGAGAAGGGAGCAAGAGGTGACCTTTTTAGACTGCCACTAAACTCCTCAGCTATTCTGGAGTGGCGTCCTGTTTTGGATGGTTTTACTCTTCCACATTCAAATCAAACAATTACAGAATTGGCTCAGTTGGAAAAGACCTATAAGATCATCAAGTCCAGTCATTAACCTAAGACTGACAAGTTCCCTAAACCATGACTAAACCATGTCCCTAAGCACTACATCTACAGGACTCTTAAATACCTCCAGGGATGGGGACTCCACCACTGCCTTGGGCAACCCATTCCAATGCCTGAGAACCCTTTCAGTAAAGAAATTCTTCCTGATATCCAATCTAAACTTCCCTTGGCGCAACTTGAAGCCATTTCCTCTCATCCTGTCACTTGTTACTTGGGAGAAGAGACTGACCCCCACCTCTCTACACCCTTCTTTCAGGTAGTTGTAGCGAGCAAGAAGGTCTCCCTTCAGCCTCCTTTTCTGCAGGCTAAACAACCCCAGCTCCCTCAGCTGCTCCTCATAAGACATGTGCTTCAGACCCTTTACCAGCTTTGTTGACCTTCTCTGGACACTCTTCAGCACCTCAATGTCCTTCTTGTAGTGAGAGGTGCAAAAATACACAGTACTCGAGGTGCAGCCTCACCAGTGCAAGTATAGGGGTAGATTAGATACCAGTAAATACTAGATTTTTTTCCTCACAAAAGATATTTACCTGTAAATATTAGTTCAAGAAGTACACATGGCTTATTTTTATTTTTACTGATGAATGATTTTATCCTATTAATAGTCAGCAATACTCTTTTGCAAAAATACACAGTACTCGAGGTGCAGCCTCACCAGTGCAAGTATAGGGGTAGATTAGATACCAGTAAATACTAGATTTTTTTCCTCACAAAAGATATTTACCTGTAAATATTAGTTCAAGAAGTACACATGGCTTATTTTTATTTTTACTGATGAATGATTTTATCCTATTAATAGTCAGCAATACTCTTTCAGCATGCAGCATGGATCTGACCAAATATCCGATGGATAAGCAGACGTGTACTTTGCAACTGGAAAGCTGTAAGACACTTAATATTTATTATTTCTATACAATTAGAAAAATATCTGTGATCTTTTCCAAGGGCTACTGGGTATTATTATAAGAAGCTTGAATTTTCAAAGAAGCCAAGGGACACTATGTGACTAGTCCCTGTTGAATTACAGTAGTAACTGTATACAAAGATAAATGCACGAGGCTTCACTGAAAATAGCATATCAGCACTGAAGTGCTGCCATGCTATTAGTGATTAATTATGAAAGAAAATCTCAGGAGATTATTAGAGGCTTGGTTTTGCAGTGTATCCTGCAGTTACTCTGTTGGTCTTCAGGGGGAGTTCTGTGAGCAGACATTTGTCAGCACAGCCGAGAATTTTTTTTTTTTTTCTCTTTCAGTTAATATGTATTTTTTTCTCCCTGAGGCACAATTCCTTTAGGAAAGAAAGAAATTAGAATAAGGCTTATTAATTTATGGCATAGACAGTTCTGTTCTGGATGGGTATATGCAGATCTTTCTATGACTTATTTAACCGTCTTTGCCCGTGCCCTGAGAAAAAGTGTCATCAGATGATGGACCAAGACTAAATATACCTTTAGAGGTTCTCCTTTTATCAATCAATGTCCTTATAATTTTCATTAAAATATGCTCTCTAATACTCTGTAGACCTGGTTACTTTGCATGGTCTACTCTGTAGACCTGGTTACTTTACCCAAATGTGCATGTTTATAGTTAACTTTTTGCTATTATTCATATGATAAGACTCTATCAAAACATTTTTGTGTGGGAAAATGTAAAAGGATATTCAGTCCTGTAAAATGAAAGTGTATGTTCAAAAATATGTCAATACAAATTCAAAATCTTTTGGAAGGTTTTTCAATATTTGGTGTTTTTTCTTTGCCATTTCAGAAGTATGTGGATGTTCTTTATCTCTTGTTGGTAATGACCAATTAAAAGATTGCTGCAAAGTTTTGTTTTAGACAGAAACACAAAGAAATAAACCCAAAAACCTTCCTACCACAGGAGTCCCTCTAGAATCAGCGGTTTTAGAAAATCTGTTTAACAAATATTAATTTGAATTAGAATTTGGATTTATCTCTATATTATTTTCCTTTGGAAGAGTGTATTGGTAAATCAGCACATATGGTTTTACATCAACAGCATTGCCTAATGAGTCATTTAATATTTTCTCTGGTTCCAGAATGAAATATATGTCCCATCGGAACTTAAAATTTATTTGGCGGGATTAAAAAAAAGGAGAATTCCCTATATAATTAAAATAAACAGAATTATTCCATCTGCTTTTTCAACACACACAAGTGTCTCCTGTCCAAGGAGAAAACATAGTAATGTCTTTACAAATGCTCCCATCACATTAGTGTTTAGCTCTCAGGAAAACAGCTAGAAGGAATAAATGCAAAAGGAAA